ATAAGATCATATAAAGATGCTGGAGAAATATCTGATTTCTTAGGGTGAGATTTTAGGAAATTTTTGTTAAATGTAATAAATATTGGTTTTTAATTTTACAATTTTAAATTTCATCTTAAACTTTTTCTATTTAATCAAATGGCAAGGGATTAATTATGAAAATATCACAAAATGAAAGGATAGAACACAAAAGGTACTTAAAAAATGTTAATATAGATACTGTTGTAATTTTCAATTTATATTTCAAATTAATATTTCATATATAACTCATGCATCGCGTGGGCAGCTTTCTAGTTATATATATGAGGCATTATGAGCTATAAGACAAAGGATGTTATTATTATTACACACATTAAAGACCACTCGTAAAGACACAGCTCATTTATTGATTACTTTTGGTAGGATTTTCGTAGGATATTTTCTTACGACTTTCTCACAAAAAAGTTTTATAGGAAATATACTTCTAATTTCCTACAACATTCGTTTTTCGTAAAAAATTCCTAGATAAATGGTAGGAAATATATCCTACCACTAGTTTGGTAGGAAAATTGGTAGGTTTTTGCCTTGTTTTCTTGTAGTGAACCAGTAGTTAGCTCCAAATTAGTTTTCAATGCAACGGATCAAGAACTTGGCCGATGAACAGAATCACTCCTGTTATGTTCTCAGTAACCACCAACTGAAACAGATGATCCTTTCAAAATATTTGAGGCGTCAAACCCGAAGAGAATTTAAACTTTGGAATATTGAATTCACCGACTTTAAATTTTCTACATGGAATGCGGCTCTCTAAGATAGTTACAAACAGAAGACAAAAAAAACATATCTATACACATAAATTTATATATCAATTGTCTTTCCTCCAGTTTCTTAGTTTAGAGTCTAGGTTGCATAGAAACTCATTTCGAAGTGAGTTTTCCGTTTCCGAAACGTTTTGGAAACAGAAACTTTTTGAAACTCGGAAACTATAACGGAAACACGGTTCCTAATTTTATTTATTTAGAAACACGATAGAAACTCGTAAATCCATTTTGGAAACCCGATGAAATATTACACTTTTAGTTAGAAACTCAATAAACATATATTTTTATTTATGATATATAAAGTAATTACTTTTATACCTTTAAAACCTGATTAAATTAATTAAATACATATCTACACAATAATATATGATATATAAATATCTGAATTTATGGATTTCTGTGTTTTAATATTTATCTTTTAGTTTTAGTTAAACTATTTAGCATATATATTTAAGATTAACGTGTTATATTAGCATTTCCAAAACGTTTTCATATCTTAATTTTATGAAAAATATGTTTCTCGTTTCTGAAACGTTTCGTTTCCACGTATCTGTTTCTGTTTCCATCCAACATACTTTAAACTTTAAGCATTCAAAATAATTGACGCCTAAGGGTAAAATTAATTACCACATATTCAGAAACTTATTTTTTATTTTTGTAATTGTATTGTATTGAAGAGGGAAGTATTATGTAATTAATATATACTTGCTGTATAGTTTGGTTATTTTGTACTCGTGTATATAAGGCTAAGCCTACAAAACTTAATAAGATGAGAAAACCTTTTATACGAAACAAGGTTTTGACATATTGTACATTTTGAATTGGTGATCATCATGAATTAGGTATGTTAATTTATTGAGAATACAAAAGATATCAAGTGCTCTAAAATGATACTGATGAAAGATGTATATATATATATATATATATATATATATATATATATCTTAAGGTTTAATAGAAAAAGTGGGATATACTGTATGGTTTTAGCTAGTATGAATGTATAAAATTGAAATAATGGTATGGAAAGTTTAAAATGTAATGTACTAGCTACTAGGCTCGGATCCGCGCTACAGCGCGGGGGAAAAATGTCGGTTTTTATTTTTTTCCGAATTACGTAAACTTTTAATTGTTAAAATGGATGGTTGGTGTTGAATTTGGCAAGTATGAGAATATGTACTATCGTGAATGTGTACTTTGTCACATATGCTAGGTTTATTTTATTTTATTTTAACGTGTTTTGTCGTATGTGTTATTATTTCGTTTATTTTAGTATCAACAATTCTTATTTCCAAATGTATATTTGGTTTCAATTATTTGAGAAAAGTGTGTTTTCGGAAATTAAATATAATATTTTAATAAAGTAAATAAAAACGTGTATTAAAGAAATTATATACTCACAATATATGTGGTAACGAACCAATCAGCAAAAACCCGTGTATTTAAAAAAGAATCATGAAAAGTATAATATTTAACGAAAGTTTGTATATACATGTATCACATAAGAACATATGAGTTTGAAAGATTTTTATATACTTGTATCCTATAAAAAATAAAATAAAAAATTAACATACATCATATTGAATAAGAGACCATAAACTAAAATAGTATACGATAAAAAAGAAAAAATAGTAAACGATAAATCATAAGAAAAAACTCAAAATAAAATGTAAAAGTTGGAAATAAAAAACGGATGCCCTTATTCAACAAATGTATGACTATATATTGTGAGGAGAGGGTGTCGATGTTTTGGGTTTGTAAGTTAGTAAATTGAATTCTTATAGAAAACACCTTTGGGTTTTTTTTTTCAAAATTCAAATATAACCATTTCTAGATATACAATATGGATCTCTATAGTTTTGCATTATTTATGCTACTGATAAAATATTATTCTTTTTTATAGGTAATTCAAATTGATAAAGATTGGAATAATTTTGAAACCTCCTTTCATATACTATTTTTTAATTCTGATTAAAATCTTTCATTTAACATATTAGGAAATATAAAAAATAATAATAAACTAGATTTTAACTTGCGGTACACCGCGGGATGATATTCCTAAAATGTATTCTTTTTATTAATTTTGTTTGGTATAAAAGAGTGTACAACTATATTTTGATTGTTAATTCTATGATTCAACCCGTAAAATATTATATGATAATTTATCGTTTATATAATCGTAATTTGATCAAATTAATTAAATAAGTATAATATCTAAAATAATGAAATGATATTGACATAATATTCGTTAACATAGTATAATTTCATATTAAAATATTTTGTGAGTTATACTATAGTAAACCACCCGTAAAAATATCTATAATAATAATTATGTAAATTATAATCCGTTCCATCACATGACCTAGGCCTGGCCTAAATAACCAATAACTGATTAACCGAACCGATTAACCGAATCGGTTCGGTTTCGGTTAACGGTTTCGGTTATCTTCAAATAACCGATTGGTTATTATATGTCTCAAAATTCGGGTTAGGTTCGGTTTCGGTTACTAACTGATAACCGAAATAAACCCGAAAAAACCGAATCTATACATATGATATATGATTATATGTTTACCTTGTATGTTCAATTGAATAGATGTTTGGTTACTTGGTTGCTTTGGAGGACACAATAGGACTCATCAATCTTTACTTCATGGGAATGGCAAAGCTTTGGTCTGATCAACTTTGTTTTACTTCTTCTCTCACTCTTATCTCGGCTTAAACTTAGATTTTCTTTTGTTTTGTTTTTCAAACTTAGAACTATGTCCTTCTCTTATCTCAACTTAGTTCGTAGTTAGACTTGGATGTTTTGTTTCTTTTCCTTTTACTCACTTGGTGTTTTAATTTAAGACTTTTAACATTAGCAGGATGAGTTTGAATTCACAGGAATTATCGGTTAATTCGGTTAACAACCAAACCGAATTGAAGACTAACCGAACTGAAATTTCTAAAATATCCGAATGGTTATTATATTACTATATCCGAATGGTTATTATATTACTATATCCATACTAACCGAAACCGAACACAACCGAACCAAAACCGAATGGTTAACCGAATGTCCAGGCCTAACATGACCCGTGCTACACAATTATCAACAATACTTTAGTACATCCATTTTTGTTTCTTTTGAGTAATATACATCCGTTTCTAAAAATTCAAATTGCAACATATGCAAAAACAAAATTCTATATTTACTATACATATATTTATGTATTAATATAAATTTAAAAACAAATAAGATCATATAAAGATGTTGGAGAAGTATTTGATTTATAAGGGAGAGATTTTAGGAAATTTATTAAATGTAATAAATATTGATTTCTAATTTTACAATTTTATTATGATTTAATTATAAAATTTATCTTAAAATTTTTCTATTTAATCAAATGGCAAGGGATTAATTATGAAAATATCACAAAATAAAAAGGTAGAACACAAAAGGTACTTCAAAAATGTTAATATAGATATTTAATATATTATAAACATCACACTAATTTAATAAAATCTTTCGTTTTCATAGCCAAATTTTATTTTTGAAACATTTAACTAATTCAAACTAACTAACATTTTTATTGATTATATTACCATTATTTATGTATTTTAGATGCATTTTTATATTTTGTATACCAAATATTTTTAAATTATTTTTTTCTGTATATCAAAGATAAACTTATAAAAAATTATAATTTTTTGTTTTTTCATATAAAAAATTAATATACTAATTAAAATATTTTTAAAAGATTGAGATCTTTATATTCATAAACAAATTTTCCTTATAAGACATATTTTTTATATAGCATTAATATATTTTCTAAAATATAATAATGTAACATTAATATAGTTTCCTAAATGACAGGAATGTGGTGTATATTATTGAAATATTTGGAAAATATTTAACAAAAGAATTGGCAAGTATCTGATTGAAAATTTAACCCGGAATTTTTTGAAAAACCCGACCCGAATCCCTTGTGTACTTCTCTTTTAATATAGTAGGGATATAAACAAACAATCCAAACTGGGAAATCTCTGGAAGTAGCTAGACAGACCACTGTTGTTTGATTTTCGTTTATGTGCAAAGTCACCATTCGTTTCAAATGAAAAGTGCATACATTACTTTACCAGACTTCAAGAAAATACTATATTATTTCATCCATCAATCCAAGGACATGACAAAGGAAGCAAATTAAAGAAACAAGAATGCTAATTTTTTGGAACATAACCAAACAATCTTGGAACACTAAGAAGTGGTATACTCCATGCTTGTACGCCACAATCAACTGAAATATCGGGTGATGCTCTATATTCTTCTCCTTCTTTATCAATCCACACCATTGTGAAGTCGAAATTTCCCGCTTCATCACAACACACGACAACTTTCTTCTCCTCGTCGATCATGGAGAAGCTCATGGAATCCGAAAAACAATGGTTTAATCCTAATAAATCTACTCTTAAGAACTTGCTCCACGACACAAATGTGGTCTCAATCTCATCGGTCATCCATATTTCCACCTCTAGTGTCTTCCTACTCTGATATAACAACGAGAGACGTTCTTCTCTAACAACCGAGAGAACCCTAGTATCATTATGGCATGGTTCATGATGAAATGGAGCGCATAAACGTTGAAACTTTTGTGTTGAAAACTCAAAACTTTTGAGTAGTGAGTAGTCTCCTTTTTTATTACACGACATCCAATAAGTATTCTCATTTATAGATACACCACCACTAGGTTTTAAGTAGGCTTGATCGGGAAGGACCGCATCCAGATTCCTCCATAAATTAGAGCTAAACTCATATATTTCCGATATAATGTTGCCTTCTGGTTCCGGAGTGACATTAAGTGCACCCCAGCCCCATGATGCCACCAACTTTCCGTATTGACACCGGAACCTCAAGATTTTGTAGCTACGACACAACTCCTTGTTGTTGAAGGGTTTACAAAAGTTTTTAAAGGTATTACAAGTTCTTTAAAATGGGTTTTAAGGATTTACAAGGGTTTTTAACGGGTTTTAGAAGTTTACAAAAGTTTTTATTAAATGATTTATCACGGTTATAAGTGGTTTAAAGGGATTTACAAGTGTTTATAAATGTTATAAAATGATTTACAATGGTTTTGAAAGGTTTACTCAAGTTTTGAAAGGTTTTGGATGACTTTTAAAAGATTTACAAGGGTTTTTAAAGGATTTTTAAGGGATTTATAAATATTTACAAGGTTTTTTTAAGAAATTGCGGAAATTTTTTGGCGGGAAATTTTTTTTGGCGGGAAATTTTTTTGGCGGGAAAATTTTTGCCGAAACTTTTTGGCGGGAAAATTTGGCGGGAAATTTTTCGGAAGGAATATTCTTTTTGTTGGAAAGAATATTCCTTTTTTCATCATGGGTTATAATAAAGGAGGGTAATTTAGTCATTTTGTACATTGAAGAGGGTATTTTTGAAAATGAACACCTAGAGAGGGTACTTGTAAAAAAGGGTATCATAATAAAGGTTAGTTGTGCAAATCTCCCATAAATATTTGTTTCCATTTTTTCGTTTTTTTGTGAGTTAATTACAAAATTTACTTTTCAATTTTGTTATTTATTTAATTGGTAAAGATTTAATTATGCAAATAATACAAAATAAAAGGTTATAACCTAAAATAGATTTTAGTACAAAATGTACTTCAAAAATGTTAAGATAGATTCCTATAAATTGTCAATTTTAATATCTGGTAGGATTTTGATTATTTTTATGCAAAGACTAAAAACTGCATTTTTTCTATTATTTGTGACATTCAAGTTCGTTTAGAAAACCATTTCACTTACTTGTCGTATGAGTGTTACAATGTTTTGTGTGCTTTCAATTTAAAGTGTAGCAGTGTAGGTAATGTGACAGCTGAACGTTGTTCTGGATGATCGTATAGTTGTGTGTGCTTACTATATCTGGTGGGTGTTCTGACTTGTGTGAAATGATTGATACAATGAGTGTCTTTTGTATTTGTTCATACATAAATTCTTAAAGAACCTTATGTCTGAGATATGTCAGTTTTGTTGTGATGCAACCCATTTAATGTTATGACAACAAAGAAAGTTTTGTGCATGCAGCAATATAATTTATGAATAGTTTATTTGGTGCCTTGTTCTCACTATGATTCCTTATTCCAATTACGAATTTGGCTTTAACTTTGTATCATCTTGTTGTTTTATGCCCTTGTTTTGTTGAGATTTCTCAGTGATAACATGTTTATAGTAAAATTGGATGTCTTGTTTCCTATGATTGGTGATGAATATTAATGATCTATAAAATTGACCACTGTTTTTTGAAGTCTTACGACTGTTTCTAATGTTTGTGCCCATTTAATTTTATACAGCATATTGCTAAGTTTAATGCTTTTTTTGGTATAAGTATACATCGTATTGTAGACAATAATGATTAAGCAAACTATATATATCTTCTCTGACTTGTGTAGAAAAATTGATTCAGTGAGTTCTTGTCTTAGATAAGATCATACATCATTCTAAGAGAACTTGATATGTGAGAACTGGCGTAATGCAACCCATTTGTCTTATGAATATTTTGTTAGATGGATGTTAAATTGCATTGTTTCCTACTAGTTATGCTGTCCTGTTAGTTACTATTCGATCCCACCCAAAACACTTGTCACTGGGTTCTTGCAGAGTTTTGCCCGTCGTGGCCTTTCTTCGAATCCTATAGTTTACTCTCTGTGGTATTCCAGTTTGTTAGAAATTTGAAGCCATAATATTTTTAAAATTGGCCAAAGATTTCACATTTTAGGCCATTCTTGAACAAATACTTAATCCCATAGCTGTATCGTTTTATGTAGGAAGGCAAAATAAACATCTTATTTAAGAAACAGTGCTTGGATAAATCCATCATAACCCTTTAAACAGTTGCATTACAATTTTCTCAAGAGTGCCATTTTACGAGTTTTTTTTTTTTTTTTTTTTTTTGAATGAATGTTAAATTTATTCAACCAAAAAAAAACCTGTTTTATATTTATATGCAGTCTTGTGTTTGAATTTTTGATTGTTTGAATTTAAACAGTTGCTCTAGTGAATCTACTAGTCTTTGTATCTCATGGACTCTTTCTCGAACCCAATTATTGGGAACTGCTTAACATATTCTTCTACAATCTCATAGTAATTTCTCATTTGAGTGCATTGTTGCTACAAAGTCCTTCAACTTTGTTCCTACAGTACATTATAGATTGATCACCAGTACAATCCCTATTTTTCAGAGAGCGTGACACAATAAGAAAGAATGAAACAATCCCCTTGAGACCCTGCCTTGATCTTTAAGGCTATTTTGACGTGAGAGCTGGTGTTTCTGTTACCTTATCTTGAGACCCGTTATAGTGTGAATTATATGGACCAACTTGTGGTCCAGGAAACAGCTTGGTTTATTCTGCGAAAATTCAAAAGGAAAACTATCAAATACTGCGAAAATTCTAAAGGAAAACTAACAAATATTGCGAAGATTAGTCAGCACCTTCCTAAAGAATATTATAGCCCCTCTGGGACAGTGAAGCGATTTGTGAGTGGTAGTAGTAACAACGTATGCTAGCAGCAACCAACCCACTAATATGAGCCATATCAGCCAACAAAAATATTAGTTTTTCAACGAATTCTATTTCCTTTTGTTATTTTACATAATTCTGATTCAGTTTGATTCGCGGTTGGATAATTCGATTTAAAAAAAAAAAAAATCATATTCCATTCGAATAATTTGACAGTTTTGTTCAAGTTTGGGAATTTTGGGCAATCCTAGCTAGACATAAGTTAAATGATGTTTTACAGCCACACAAAAAAACACATAAAATTCTAGCTTTTGGTATTTATTTTCTTCTATAATTTACTCACATGACATGACCTTTTGTGTTTTTGGTGTTACCTTAGAAGATGGTATAGAAGAAACCAAAATGGTTGTGAAAAGTCTCTTTTGCGAATCTTTACGTACGAGTGGTGGGATAACATGACAAGTAAGAAGAACCCCAAGCAACCTGACTTGAATCATAAAGATACATGTGAAACTCTCTGGCATGACTTAGATTTATCAGACTGGATTACTTGTTAGTGACGACTTGACTTGTTAGACCAGAGAAAGTGAATCTGAGACTATTATTGGCCAAAGGTCTGTAGTCATCGATTGTAAATCTGATTATTTTTTTTAAATGAAATATTTATATTCTTAGCAAAATAAAAAGAGTGAAACTACTACAAGGAAAAAAACACACTATGGCTTTTTTCCGATTGGATTTAATTAAGATTAGGTCGAGATGTTCTTGGGATGTTACAAGTGTATTGCATCACTCTATGTTACATGATCCTGATTCTTGAGTGTGAGAGTACATAACCAAAACTTATAATCAATCTTCGGTTTAATATAAAGATTTCAAATTCAATTAATCGTATGTTTCATATAAGTTGTAAACTGAATATACGGTTTAGACTTTTATGTACTAAAATGTGTAAGAAAATATTTTAGTATCTTTCTTGTTGATAATCGTTATCGGAACATTCTTTGAGAGATGAAACGTAACGTATGGGTTTTGTGATATTTATGAGAACAAGAGCATCAACGAGAGTTTGTAATATTCGTTGATGATACATACAATTACAAACGTTCAGTTTTGAGAACAAAACTCTTCAATTTTGCCAAGCTAAGTTTTGTTTTAATTTGGCTTGGTTCATATAAAGAATCTAATGTTCAAACTATTGAAAAGTTAATATTGGCGTATGTTTTAGGTTGGATATGGACAGAGATGACAACTTGGTAAGCATTTTATAGGATAATTCTACTTGTCCTACAAGCTTAAGCTACACGGCACTTTGATTTTTCTACTTGTCCTCACTAAACTCCAATTTTACTTTGCTCACTGAGAGTGATTTTTTGATCTTTGCTTCTAATTTCTTACAACATGATTTTGTTTTTAGGGCAAGAGAGTTTATGCTCTATTAAGTCAAGTCTATTGGATTTGGAAAGATTCACTATATTCTTTGTGGGGAACAAATTTCATCGAGAAGACTTCAAAATGTTAAGTCAATGGAGCTTCATGTGTTTGATTTTAAATATATGTAAGTGACCTGCAACACTAATTCACCATCACTACTTCAGATTACTCTTTTATTCACAAATATGAAAGCTTTCTTACCTAATCAGAAAATGAGGTTCCTTCTTCGTTCCATCTCTTTCCTTAAAAGTTTATCTTGAGAGTCAAAACAGTTTTGTTGATCTAAGCTCAAATGCTTTCCAAGGACCACTCTTCATCCCATCCTCTAAGCATCTCCAATATTTTTCGGGTTCTAAGAATAACTTCACTGGAGAGATTCCTCAATCAATATGTGGACTAAACTCTCTAGAGGGCCTAGATCTATCAAACAACAACCTCCATGGTTCAATTCCCTGGTGTTTAGAGACTCTGGTGATGACTTCTCTTGCATATCTAAATCTCCGTAGCAACAGACTTAGCGGAATTCTTCCTGAAATATTTCATCACGCCAAGAGGTTAACTTCACTTGACGTCAGTCACAACCGATTAGAGGGAAAAATACCAGCTTCTCTTGTTGGTTGCTCTGCTTTGGAAGTTTTGAACGTGGGAAGCAACACAATCAAAGACATGTTTCCCTTCCACTTGAATTCTCTGCAGAAACTTCAAGTCCTTGTCCTCCACTCTAACAGGTTTCATGGTACATTACGTAATGCTGATGGGGTTTGGTTTGGATTTCCTCATCTGAAAATCATTGATGTATCACACAATGACTTCTCCGGTACATTGCCATCAGATTACTTTTTGAATTGGACTGCGATGTACTCCAAGAGAGATAATAATATGGAACCTGAGTACATTAGGAATCCTTCAGAAGATGGCTACTACTCACTTGTGTTGATGAATAAAGGAGTGTCAATGGAGATGGAACGTATCCTTACAACCTACACAGCCATTGATTTTTCAGGAAATCAACTCCATGGACCAATTCCTGATTCCATTGGTCTGTTGAAGGAACTTCATATTCTCAACATGTCAAGCAATGCTTTCACGGGGCACATCCCATCTACTTTGACAAATTTGACGAATCTGGAGTCACTCGACCTATCCCAAAACAAGATTTCTGGTGAGATTCCTCCTGAACTTGGGACCCTCTCATCTCTGGAAGTGATAGATGTTTCACATAACCAGCTTGTAGGTTCCATACCACAAGGCACGCAGTTTCAACGACAAAAATGCTCCTCCTATGAAGGAAACCTGGGGCTTAATGCTCTTTCCCTTAAGGATGTTTGTGGAGATATCAAAGCACCGACACCAGCACAATCGAAACTGGTGGAGACAAAAGAAGAAGAAGAATCATTGAGTTGGATGGCAGCATGTTTAGGCTTTGCACCTGGAGTTGTATTTGGATTAGTGATGGGACACATAGTGGTTTCGTACAAGCATGAGTGGTTCATGAAGGTTTTTGGCCGAAGCAAGCAACGAAGAGCTCATTAACGCATTGTTGTTATATAATTGTTGTGTTCGACGAAGTTTGTGTGATAACATCATAAATAACGTGTGATGGACAATTTTTATGTATTTCCCATTATAAGTGATGTATCAGTTTTTTATGTATTATATGAATTATCATATTGATTATTTGTTTTCATTATATATATGAGGCATTATGAGCTATAAGACAAAGGATGTTATTATTATTACACACATTAAAGACCACTCGTAAAGACACAGCTCATTTATTGATTACTTTATAACTTAAACCAGTAGTTAGCTCCAAATTAGTTTTCTTGGACTTGGCCGATGAACATAGTAACTCCTGTTATGTTCTCTGTGACCACCAACTGAAACAGATGATCCACCACAAAATCTATCTCATCTTCCTCCATAAGCAAACCTCTTAGTTTTATAACTCCAGCTGATGCGGCTGCGGCTTCTGTTCCTTCTTCGTTCACCTCGATGCATGCTTTGTGGAAAATGTTCGATACGGATAGATTCTTCCCCATTTCTGGAGATTCAAGCATCTCAGTTATACCGTCTTCGCCACTGAATGGCGAAGTCAGTCCCAATCCTTTCAAAATATCTGAGGCGTCAAACCCGAAGAGAATTTAAACTTTGGAATATTGAATTCACCGACTTTAAATTGTCTACATGGAATGCGGCTCTCTAAGAACCCAAGAGTAGAAACTATTTTGTCTGGTATGTTGGTTTAAACTTAAAGAAAGCTTGAATCTCAAGCTAAACCTAATCCTACCGAATTATGGTTTTTAGGAGAAAGAAGTTTAGGAGTTATCTAAACATGTATTATTCTTGAGTTACGTTATATTTTCACAAACGAGATTTGGTATTAGAACCATTGTACGATCGTGAAGAAACAATGGGAGATCTTGTCATCCCAATGACCAAACCAAGAGGACGAGAGTACCTTCACTGATCATGTGTCCTATGCTAAGCATAACCAATTATACGGTATGTGACATGATGATGAAAATCACACTCAAAGTTTCTAACGTCTCTTTTCGATTTCGTTTTTTTTAAGACAAATTAATAACCAAAGTATTACTTATCGCACCGAGCCACCAAGACATCTGCCTCTTCTTGGTCAATGTTCATGTCTCTAGGGAAAACGAGAGAGTAGTTTTATATGAGATGAAAGAATGTGAGATGGCATGGGGACTCGTGCCTGGGAGCAACATAACCTTTTTTGTTGTGTGTGTTTTGTGTTTAGTGTTTTCTTTTTTCATCAATCCAAGGACATAACAAAGGAAGAAATTAAAGAAACAAGAATGCTAATTTTTTGGAACATAACCAAACAAACTTGGAACACTAAGAAGTGGTATACTCCATGCTTGTACGCCACCATCAACTGAAATATCGGGTGATGCTCTATATTCTTCTCCTTCTTTAACAATCCACACCATTGTGAAGTCGAAATTTCCCGCTTCATCACAACACACGACAACTTTCTTCTCCTCATCGATAATGGAGAAGCTCATGGAATCCGAAAAACAATGGTTTAATCCTAATAAATCTACTCTTAAGAACTTGCTCCACGACACAAATGTGGTCTCAATCTCATCGGTCATCCATATTTCCACCTCTAGTGTCTTCCTACTCTGATATAACAACGAGAGACGTTCTTCTCTAACAACCGAGAGAACCCTAGTATCAATATGGCATGGTTCATGATGAAAGGGAGCGCATAAACGTTGAAACTTTTCTGTTGAAAAATCAAAACTGAGTAGTGAGTAGTCTCCTTTTTTATTACACGACATCCAATAAGTATTCCCATTTAAAGATACACCACCACTAGGTTTTAAGTAGGCTTGATCGGGAAGGACCGAATCCAGATTCCTCCATAAATTAGAGCTAAACTCATATATTTCCGATATAATGTTGCCTTCTGGTTCCGGAGTGACATTAAGTGCACCCCAGCCCCATGATGCCGCCAACTTTACGTATTGACACCGGAACCTCAAGATTTTGTAGCTACGACACAACTCCTTGTTGTTGTATCCGAGAGCATACGCTCCAATGTAGTGATCTTGCAGTTGGGTTACTTGGATCCACCTGGTTTGCCCCGAAAACGGGTTCCAAACCACAATCATGGTCTTCATCAAGAGGCTGCATAGCAATATGCCATCGCAGTGAAAGGCTTCAGATAAACTGACGAATTCGTCACGATGGGGAAGAGCTAGGCGATGCGGATATATACTGACCACTCTCATAACCCTATCGACAACGGAGCTCATTGGACATACCGTATTGCCAAACAGCATAAGAGCATGATACTGCTTTGCTGTTTTGTCAAAGTGTTTTTTGATGAATCTAGGATCTTTGAATAAAGCTTGATGGTACCATCCTTTGCAAGTAGATCGTAATCGTCTCAGGGATGTCACGGGGACCCTATATAGTATCTCTTCTATCAAATCTTGTGGCAGTTGGGATATCGTCATCCTTGTTTCTCTCGTGATCAATTAGGGTTTCAGGTGAACTAATGTAATAAAAGTTCATATATATATACTGTATGAAGAAATAAGTGGAACAATATTAACTTATACACATTCTTATCATATTATTATTATTACTTTTTTTTTGTCAACTTACACTAAAATGTACTTATCTTATATTACGATCTTCCAAAATCTGGTAATGCTAAAATCTGGTCCTTAAACTTATAACGATTTGACTTTCGTATTTCTGAAGAAGATATACCTTTTAAATCATATTTAACATTCTTTTATAATTTCTTAACTGCTATCAATAAGTTTGTTTTTTTTTTCCATACTTTTCTTCTATTTTACATACAAGTTTTTTTCCTTCTCTTTTTAAGACTTAGTTTTTTGCATATTTTCTTTTATACATTTGGAAAATTAAGGATTTTTATATATAATTTTTAAAAGTAATATTAGATATATATATATTTAGATTTGGAATTTCCTATATCAAAATTTAATTGTAGCAGTTTTCTACAAAAAAAGAATATGTAAATTATAGAACAGACAAAATACAAAAATAAGTTTGAAAACAGAGTATATGGTTCTCTAACTCCATTCCGAAGTGTTCTTTCATTCTTTGGTTAGCTGCTCGAAACAGATTAACAACGGCGGACCGTATGCTGGCCTGGAACAGAGGCGTGAATGGTGCTTGTGTGCTCTGTCGGGCACCACTTGAAACATTCCCTCACCTCTTCTTTGAATGCCCTTACTCTTCACGGGTTTGGCAGGATCTGTCTCGACCGCTCTTGACGCGCCAATTCTCTACGTCCTTTGGCCAGATTCTTACTCTTCTCTCGGGTCAGACCATAAAAGGAATAAGTTCTTATCTTCTGCGTCTCGTGTTCCAAGTTTCAGTCCACACGATTTGGTTGGAGCGAAACAGAAGACGGCATGGAGATACGCCAAGCACCACGGACCAGCTTGTCCGCTTCCTAGACCGCATGGTCCGTAATAAGCTCCTTTCAATGCAAGGCAACACAACAAAGTTTGGTGACGGGCTGCAGATTTGGTTAGCTACTCTACTACTTTTCTAATTCCTTTTAAACAATTTTCAGGTTTTTTTTTGCTCTTTTTTGATCCAAGGAAGCATTCATTGTAAAAAGGACATTTTTTTGTTTTGAATATATTTTCACATTCATTCAAAAAAAAAAAAAAGTTTGAAAACAGAGAGACGGTTGGTAGAAAACCGACAGTTGGATTGGGTGATTGTGTGGTTATTAAGGAGATATTATTAATTCAAGGTTACTATGAGAAAATTTAGTTTGTCTTGGAGTTTCATATAAAACTCTTGGAGATTTTTTTTACTTGTTTTGAGAATTGAACTTAGATTTATGGGAAAAATTGGGGATATTTGTTGAATCAGTGATGGAGTTTAACCTTAGTAACGTATGGTGCAAAAGGGGGGGATTCCTTGAGTACACCATTATCCATCAAAGTATGCATATGCCAATTCAAGCAACTGTTGTGAAGTAGTTGCACTTTTGCTGCAGTATATTGGTGGAGCTATATACAACACTGCCTCTTCTCGGTCAAAGTAAACCTCTCTGAATGTTCATGTCCCTAATGATAAAACGAGAGAGTCCCAGTTTTGTAAATTCTCTGAGTTTCAGGTCACTGAGCGGATTCAAATGCCTTATGTTGGTTAAGGTAAGTTTAATTACCTCTCTGAATGTCCCAGTCCCTGTTGGTAAAGTTCTCTAGCGCTACTGAATCTCATGGACTCTTTCTCGAACCCAATTATTGGGAACTGCTTAACATATTCTTCTACCATCTCTGATTGTAATTTCTCATTTGATTGCGTTGTTGCTCCAAAGTCCTTCAACTTTGTTCCTACAGTACATTATAGATTTTTAGATCAACAGTACAATCCCCATTTTTCGGAGAGCGTGACACAATAAAAAAGAATGAAACAATCCCCTTGAGACCCTGCCTTGATCTTTAAGGCTATCTTGATGTTTCTGTAACCTTATCTTGAGACCCGTTATTGTGTGAATTATATGGACCAACAGCTTGGTTTATTCTGCGAAAATTCAAAAGGAAAACTATCAAATATTACGAAAATTAGTCAGCACCTTCCTAAAGAATATTATAGCGATTTGTGAGTGGTAGTAGTAACAATGTCTGCATACTCGAGGAATAACGTACGCTAGCCGCAACCAACCCACTAATATATGAGCCAAGACAAATATTAGATTTTCAACGAATTCTATTTCCTTTCGTTATTTTACATAATTTTGATTCAGTTTGATTCGCGGTTGGATAATTAGAGTTTAAATATAAAAAAAAATCATATTCCATTCGAATAATTTGACAGTTTTGTTCAAGTTTGGGAATTTTGCACAATCCTGGAGTTAATTTTAATGATGTTTTACAGCCACAAAAAAAAAAAACATAAAATTCTAGCTTTTGGTATTTATTTTCTTATATAATTTACTCACATTTGGTGTTACCATAGAAGATGGTATAGAAGAAACCAAAAATGGTTGTGAAAAGTCTCTTTTGCGAATCCTTACGTACGAGTGGTGGGATAACAGGACAAGTAAGAAGAACCCTAAGCAACCTGACTTTAATCACAAAGATACATGTGAAGCTCTCTGGCATGACTTTACTAGACGACTTGACTTGTTAGACCAGAGAAAGTGAAGCTGAAACTATTATTAGCCTAAGGTCTATAATCATCGATTATAAATCTGTTTTTTTTTATAAAAATAATTAAATGAAATTTTTACATTCTTAGCAAAATAAAATAAAAAAGTGAAACTAAAACAAGGAAAAAAAAAACACACTCTATGGCTGTTTTCCTGATTCCTGAGTGTGAGACATAACCAAAACTTATAATCAATCTTTCGTTCAATGTAAAGATGTCAAATTCGATTAATCGTACCATTCATATATGTTGTACGTTTAGAATTAAAGTACTAAAATGTGTAAGAAATCGTTTGTGTAATTATCTCCAGAATATTTGTGTATATGATGATCAGAAGTAAATAAAATTTGGTTTTTATCGGAACATTCGTTGAGAGATAAAACGTAACGTATGGGTTTCGTGATATTATGAGAACACAAGCATCAACGAGACTTTATGATATTCGTTGTTAATACAGACAACTATAAACGTACAGTTTTGAGAACAAAACTCTTCAATTTGGCCAAGCTCATATAAAGATTCTAATGTTCAAACTTTTGAAAAGTTAATATTAACGTATGTTTTTAGGTTTGAATTGGATAGAGGACAACTAGGTAAAGCATTTCATGGGGGAAAAGCCACAGGAGAATAGTCCCATTTGAATTTGAAGGACAAGCTTAAACTACACGGCACTTTGATTTTTCTACTTGCCCTCACTAAACTCCAATTTTACTTTGCTCATTGAGAATGATTTTTTGATCTTCGTTTCTAATTTCTTACAAAAAGACTTTTTAGGGCCAAGATCGAGTTATGTAAGTAGAGAATATTGAATTGTATATTGTTTTGTATTATTGAATGAAATGATACAACATATATAAGCACATAACATAACCTATACTTGTGTGACAAGTCTCTTTTGTAATCATGGATTGTAAATCTGATTATTTTTTTTTTCAAATGAAATATTTACATTCTTAGCAAAATAATATAAAAAATAAAAAAGTGAAACTAATACAAGGAAAAAAACACACTATGGCTGTTTTCCGATTGGATTTAATTAAGATTAGGTCGAGATGTTATTGGGATGTTACAAGTGTATTGCATCACTCTATGTTACATGATCCTGATTCATAAGTGTGAGATATAACCAAAACTTATAATCAATCTTTGGTTTAATATAAAGATTTCAAACTCGATTAATCGTACGTTTCATATATGTTGTAAACTGAATATACAGTTTAGACTTTTATGTACTAAAATGTGTAAGAAAATATTTTAGTATTTGTTAAGTATTTTTCTTGTTAATAATCGTTATCGGAACATTCTTTGAGAGATGAAACGTAACGTATGGGTTTTGTGATATTTATGAGAACAAGAGCATCAACGAGAGTTTGTAATATTCGTTGATGATACATACAATTACAAACGTTTAGTTTTGAGAACAAAACTCTTCAACTTGGCCAAGATAAGTTTTGTTTTAATCTAGCTTGGCTCATATAAAGAATCTAATGTTCAAACTATTGAAAAGTTAATATTGACGTATGTTTTAGGTTGGAATTGGACAGATGACAACTTGGTAAGCATTTTATAGGATAATTCTACTTGTCCTACAAGCTTATGCTACACGGCACTTTGATTTCTCTACTTGTCCTCACTAAACTCCAATTTTACTTTGCTCACTGAGAATGATTTTTTGATCTTTGCTTCTAATTTCTTACAACATGATTTTGTTTTTAGGGCAAGAGAGTTTATGCTCTATTAAGTCAAGTCTATTGGATTTGGAAAGACTCACAATATTCTTTGTGGGGAAGAAATTTCATCGAAAAGACTTCAAAATGTTAAATCAATGGAGCTTCATGTGTTTGATTATATATATATGTAAGTGACCTGCAACACTAGTTCACCATCACTACTTCAGATTACTCTTTTATTCACAAATATGAAAGCTTTCTTACCTAATCAGAAAATGAGATTCCTTCTTCGTTCTATCTCTTTCCTTTTTTTCGTTTCATGTTTGCTAAACACATTCGTTTCTTCTACACAACACTTGTGTCATCTAGACGAAAGGGATGCTCTTCTAGAGTTTAAGACTGAGCTTTTGATCAAGAAGCCTCGTTTGGACGTTGATTCAGATATAAAGACCGAATCATGGATGAACAAAAGTGATTGTTGTTCTTGGGATGGCATCACATGTGCTGCGAAGTCGGGCAAAGTCATCGGACTAGACCTTAGTTTCAACTACCTCTACGGCAAGCTCGAATCCAACAGTAGTCTGTTTAAACTGCTTCATCTCCGTGATTTGAACCTTACTGGCAATAATTTCACCGGTTCTTCAATCCCAGCTGAGTTTGATAAGCTCATGAGGCTAGAAACACTTGACCTCTCTGATTCTTCACTTTCAGGCCAAATTCCAGTCAACCTTCTTCAGCTAACCAAGTTGGTGTCTCTCCATCTTTCTGATTCTTCTTCTTCTCTATCTATTGATGAATCTTTTCTTCATCTATTTGCTCAAAATTTGAGGAGTCTTAGAGAACTCGATATGAGCAATGTAAACATTTCTTCAAAAATCCCCCATGAGTTTTCAAAATTGCGATCTCTAAGGTCAGTAGATCTAAGCTTATGCAACCTCTTTGGAGAATTTCCAAGTAGTGTTCTGCTGATACCTAGTCTGCAGTCCATTACATTAAGCTACAATCCAAATCTGAGAGGCAATCTTCCCTCTTTTCGTGAGAATAATTCTTTGGTAGAGCTGACCATTGACATTACAGCCTTTTCTGGTCCCATACCCGACTCCATTAGCAACCTCAAAAATTTGATTTCCTTGACCCTTTCCTCTTCCCAATTCTCAGGGAAGATTCCGCTTTCACTTGGGAATCTTTCTCATCTCTCATTTCTCGATCTCTCTTATAATAACTTTGTTGGTGAAATCCCATCTTCAATTGGTAATCTAAAACAATTAACCATTTTTGATGTTTCCGAAAACAAGCTCAGTGGAAACTTGCCAGCTTCAATACTCAATTTTACTCAACTACGTGAACTCTGGCTCTCTTCAAATCAGTTCACAGGGAAGATTCCTTTTTCAGTTGGGAATCTGTCTCATCTCTCATATCTAGATCTCTCTGATAATAACTTTGTTGGTGAAATCCCATCTTCAATTGGCAATCTAAAACAGTTGACACTTTTTTATGTTAGTGGTAACAAGCTCAGTGGAAACTTGCCAGCTTCAATACTCAACTGTACCCAACTACTTGAACTCTGGCTCTCTTCAAATCAGTTTACTAGTTCTCTTCCACCAATCATTAGCCAATTCTCCAAATTAGAGTCTTTTTCAGCTGATGACAGTTCTTTTAAAGGAGCCATTCTTTCATCCCTAGTCAAGATTCCCTCTTTGATCCATATCTCTTTGCGTTATAACCAATTCAACGACTATACTGGGATTTCAAATATCTCTCTGTTACCTAATTTACAAAAAATTTCTATTAAGAGTAGAAATTACAACAAAGTCTCTGATTCAGAAGTTAACTTAAATGTCTTCTTGCCTCTCAAGAAGCTAGACTCGTTATCTATATATGGCATCCCTCTTTCAACAGCAAACATCACTCTTGATTCGGATTTCCCATCAAGTTTGGAATCTTTAATTTTGAGTGGCTGCAACATCACTGAGTTCCCTGAGTTCATAAAAAAAGGAAGAAATCTACAACAATTATATCTTTCCAACAACAAAATCAAAGGTCAAGTACCAGACTGGTTGTGGAGACTGCCAAAATTGGAGTTTGTGCGTCTCTCTAACAACTCTCTCAGCGGTTTCAATGGATCCTTAGAAGTTTCTCCGCAGAGTCAAATAAGTTATGTTGATCTAAGCTCAAATGCTTTCCAAGGACCACTCTTCATCCCATCCTCCAAGTATCTCCTATATTTTTTTGGGTTCTAAGAATAACTTCACGGGAGAGATCCCTCGATCAATATGTGAAGTAAACTCTTTAGAGGTCCTAGATCTATCAGACAACAACCTCCATGGCTCAATTCCCTGGTGTTTAGAGACTCTGGTGATGAGTTCTCTTTCGGATCTAAATCTCCGTAAGAACAGACTCAGCGGGGTTCTTCCTGAAATATTTCAGAACGCCAAGAGTTTAACGTCGCTTGACGTTAGTCACAACCAAATCGAGGGAAAAATTCCAGCTTCTCTTGTTGGTTGCTCTGCCTTGGAAGTTTTGAACGTGGGAAGCAACACAATCAACGACATGTTTCCCTTCCATTTGAATTCTCTGGAGAACCTTCAAGTCATCGTCCTACACTCTAACAAGTTTCATGGCAAATTACATAATGCTGATGGGGTTTGGTTTGGATTTCCTAAGTTGAAAATCATTGATGTATCGTATAATGACTTCTTCGGTGCCTTGCCATCTGATTACTTCTTGAACTGGACTGCAATGTACTTCAAGAGAGACAATAATATGGAACTAGATTACATTAGAAATTATCGGATCAACATCTTCTACATTTCACTTGTGTTGATGAGTAAAGGAGTATCAATGGAGATGGAACGTATCCTTACAACATACACAGCCATCGATTTTTCAGGAAATCAACTTAGTGGACAAATTCCTGATTCTGTTGGTTTTCTAAAGGAGCTTCGTATTCTCAACATGTCAAACAATGCTTTCACGGGTCACATCCCATCTACTTTGGCAAATTTGACGAATCTCGAGTCACTCGACCTATCCCAAAACAAGATATCTGGTGAGATTCCTCCTGAGCTTGGGAGCCTCTCTTCTCTCGCATGGATAAATGTTTCACATAACCAGCTTGTAGGTTCCATACCACAAGGCACACAGTTTCAACGACAAAAATGCTCCTCCTACAAAGGAAACCCGGGGCTTAATGGTCTTTCCCTTAAAGATGTTTGTGGCGATATCAAAGCGCCAACACAGTCCGAACTGGTAGAGACAAAAGAAGAAGAAGAAGAAGCATTGAGTTGGATGGCAGCATGTTTAGGCTTTGCACCTGGAGTTGTATTTGGATTAATGATGGGACACATAATGGTTTCGTACAAACATGAGTGGTTCATGAAGGTTATTGGCCGAAGCAAGAAACGAACCATTAGAGCTCGTTAACGCATTGTTGTTCTGTTCGACGAAGAAAAAGCAAGCGTGTGTAATGATCAATGTTTATTATGTATTATATGTGATGTATCAGCTTTTATGTATTATATGTGATGAATCAAGTTCTATGTATTCGAAATCATTAAATTTCAGAATTAACTAATTAATCTATAGTTTTGACGTACATATATGTTGATGAAACCATAATGTCTACTGTTAAAAAGAGGATGTTATTATTATTACATACATCAAAAGAAGTAGCACAAAGATGAGTCACCACTCGTAACGACACTCATTTATTGATTACTCTATAAGTAAAACCAGTAGTAAGGTCCAAATTAGTTTTCAATGCAACGGATCAAGGACTTGGCCGATGAACAGAATCACTCCTGTTATGTTCTCTGTGACCACCAACAGAAACGGATGATCCGCCACAAAATCTATCTCATCTTCCTCCATAAGCAAACCTCTTAGTTTTATAACTCCAGCTGATGCGGCTGCAGCTTCTGTTCCTTCTTCGTTCACTTCGATACACGCTTTATGGAAAATGTTCGATACGGATAGATTCTTCCCCATTTCTGAAGATTCAACCATCTCAGTTAAACCGTCTTCGCCACTGAATGGTGAAATCAGTCCCAATCCTTTCAAAACATCTGAATAACGCGAGAGAGAACTAATACTTTGGAATCTTGAAATCACCAATAGTAGAAACTATTTTGTCCGGTATGTTGGTTTATGCTTGAAGAAAGCTTGAGTCTCAAGCTAAACCACAATCCTACCGAATTATGGTTTTAGGAAAAAGAAGTTTATGAGTTATCTATTATGGGGTGGATTTGTAAATATTACACATGTCTCTAGTTTTCCTTATTTGCCTAATGTACTAGGGTTCTCGTGATGTATATATATTGGATTGTGTATCTAATAATAAACTTAAGCCCCATGAAAAGATCGGAATAGAACGGCTTAAGTTTATATTTGGACTATGGTAAATGTGGGACATGATGATGAAGATCACACTCAAAGTTCATCAGGTTTGGGAGATTATCAAGTTGATGGTGCAATCCAGTCGATGATGAGCAAGCAACAAAATTCCTTATAAACATCTGGTTTCGAGTAATACTTTTCTAAACGATGAACCAGTTTGTGTTCTTGTAGAAAGAAAAAAATGTTTAACAAATATCTAAAAATCATCGATACATATTAATAAAAACATTTATATACAGAAACATAGATGATTCAAGAAAAACGAACACATGTGAAAAAATGTAACAAAGAAACAAGGATTTTGCCTAAAACTAATCAACACGTGTAGACCGTTCGATTTATACGACCGCAAGATGGATTGCTTCGCCGTTACGGCACAGCCTCATCTCTGATATTCCTAAATATTTAAAACCTGATGGGATTGACACGTAACACGTCGGTTATACTGATTTTGTTTTTTTTTTTAAGCCAAATTAATAACCAAAATATTTCGTATTGCACCGACCATGTTTATAACCGTTAGAGATATGTATTTGTTTTTTCTTCTTCTCTATTTAATTTTGAATAAATGGAAAGTAACAGAGGAAGAGCCGAGAAAATAAAACCCTAGTAAAATCCTCTTCATCTTCTTCGATCTCTCTCTCTATCTCTTGCTCTCTCTTTTACCTTCTCTTCAACTTCTTCGATCCCTCTCTTACATTCGGAGGAGTCATGCGTATGTATTGGAGAAGTGGAGAAGTGGAGAAGTGGAGAGACGAAACACCGATCCAATCCAGTGTATGTTCTTTAATTTCTTAGTGTTTGAGTTTTCGATTTTATTGAATTGATTTCAATATCGTTGATTTCATTACAACAACAGTTTAATTAGGGTTTTGATTTCGATTCTCTAATTTGATAATATTCTCAAATTAGAGTTTAATTTTAAAATTCAAATTAGGGTTTTGAAACGAGTTGGGGTTTTCACATCTCTGGTTTGGAATTTTGTTTTTTGTTTTGTTTTGAGAATTGAACTTAATTAGATTTGTGGTTCGTTATATTTTCTTTATGTGACTGACTTGTACTTCTCTTTCTCTTTTATACAGTTTCAATTCCTGAATTCAAAGCAAAGAGATAGATGAATATACGTTGCCTGTTTTGTGGGAAAAATTGTTGAATCAATGATGGAGTTTAACCTTAGTAACATATGGCACAAAAGGGGGGTTTCTTTGAGTACACCAATTCAAGCAACTGTTGAGAAGGAGGTAGCACATTTGCTGCAGTATCTGCCTCTTCTCGGTCAAGGTAATCAAAATTACCTCTCTCAATGTTCATGTCCCTAGTGAAAACGAGAGAGTAGTTTTATATGAGATGAAAGAAGGTGAGATGGCATGGGGACTCGTGTCTCGGAGCATACAGAACTTTTTTTTGTGTTTTGTGTTTTCTTTTTTAATTTCGTTTGCATTTGATGCAATACATAGTACTTCGTACTTACACTTGTCTTCCCTTCAGTTTCTAGTTTATACTTTAAGCATTCAAAATAATTGACGCCTAGGGGTAAAGTTAATTACCACATATTCAGAAACTTATTTTTTATTTTTGTAATTGTATTGTACATTTTGAATTGGTGATCATCATGAGTTATGTATGTTAATTTATTGAGAATGCAAAAGATATCAAATGCTCTAAAATAATACATATGAAAGATGTTTATATATATCGTAAGGTTTAATAGAAAAAGTGGGATATACTATATGGGTTTAGCAATGAATATATAAAATTGAAATAATGGTATGGAAAGTGTAAACTGTATACAAATCTCTGGACGTAGATAGACAGACCAGTGTTGTTTGTTTTTCGTTTATGTGCAAAGTCACCATTCGTTTCAAATGAAAAGTGCATACATTAATTTACCAAACTTCAAGAAAATACTATATTATTTCATCCATCAATCCAAGGACATGACAAAGGAAGCAAATTGATAAAGAAACAAGAATACTAATTTTTTGGAACATAACCAAACAATCTTGGAACACTAAGATGTGGTATACTCCATGCTTGTACGCCACCATCAACTGAAATATCGGGTGATGCTCTATATTCTTCTCCTTCTTTAACAATCCACACCATTGTGAAGTCGAAATTTCCCGCTTCATCACAACACACGACAACTTTCTTCTCCTCGTCGATAATGGAGAAGCTCATGGAATCCGAAAAACAATGGTTTAATCCTAATAAATCTACTCTTAAGAACTTGCTCCACGACACAAATGTGGTCTCAATCTCATCGGTCATCCATATTTCCACCTCTAGTGTCTTCCTACTCTGATATAACAACGAGAGACGTTCTTCTCTAACAACCGAGAGAACCCTAGTATCAATATGGCATGGTTCATGATGAAAGGGAGCGCATAAACGTTGAAACTTTTCTGTTGAAAAATCAAAACTGAGTAGTGAGTAGTGTCCTTTTTTATTACACGACATCCAGTAAGTATTCCCATTTAAAGATACACCACCACTAGGTTTTAAGTAGGCTTGATCGGGAAGGACCGAATCCAGATTCCTCCATAAATTAGAGCTAAACTCATATATTTCCGATATAAAGTTGCCTTCGGGTTCCGGAGTGACATTAAGTGCACCCCAGCCCCATGATGCCGCCAACTTTCCGTATTGACACCGGAACCTCAAGATTTTGTAGCTACGACACAACTCCTTGTTGTTGTATCCGAGAGCATAGGCTCCGATATAGTGATCTTGCAGTTGGGTTACTTGGATCCACCTTGTTTGCCCCGAAAACGGGTTCCAAACCACAATCATGGTCTTCATCAAGAGGCTGCATAGCAATATGCCATCGCAGTGAAAGGCTTCAGATAAACTGACGAATTCGTCACGATGGGGAAGAGCTAGGCGATGCGGATATATACTGACCACTCTCGTAACCCTATCGACAATGGAGCTCATTGGACATACCGTATTGCCAAACAGCATAAGAGCATGATACTGCCTTGCTGTTTTGTCAAAGTGTTTTTTGATGAATCTAGGATCTTTGAATAGAGCTTGATGGTACCATCCTTTGCAAGTAGATCGTAATCGTCTCAGGGATGTCACGGGGACCCTATATACTATCTCTTCTATCAAATCTTGTGGCAGTTGGGATATCATCCTTGTTTCTCTCGTGATCAATTAGGTTTTCAAGTAAACTACTGTAATAAAAGCTCATATATATATATATGAAAAAATAAGTTGAAGAATATTAACTTATACACATTCTTAACATATCATTATTATTACTTTTTTTTGGTCAACTTACACTAAAATGTACTTATCTTATATTACGATCTTCCAAAATCAGGTAATGCTAAAATCTGGTCGACTTAAACTTTTAAGGATTTGACTTTCGTATTTCTGAAGAAGATATACCTTTTAAATCATGTTTAACATTTTTTTTATAATTTCCCATAATTTCCCTTACTGCTATCAATAGTTTTTTTTTTTTTCCCTTCTCTTTTTAAAACTTATAGTTTATTGCATAATTTGTTTTATACATTTAGAAAATCAATGATTTTTTATATATAAAAAACATAGATGGTTCAAGAAAAACGAACACATGTAAAAAAAATGTAACAAAGAAACAAGGATCTGTCTAAAACTAATCAACACGTGTAGACCGTTCGATTTATACGACCGCAAGATGGATTGCTTCGTCGTTACGGCACAGCCTCATCTCCTGATATAAGTCCCACATTCCTAAATACATTTAAAACCTGATGAGATTGACACGTCGGTGAGTAACTGATTTCGTTTATTTTTTTTTTTGAAGGCAAAATAATAACCAAAGTATTTCGTATTGCACCGACCTTGTTTATAACCGTTAGAGATTTTTGTTTTTTCTTCTTCTTCTATTTAATTCTGAATAAATGGAAAATAACAGAGAAATAGCCGAAAAAATAATAAACCCTAGTCAGATCCTTTTCATCTTCTTCGATCTCTCTCTCTATCTCTTGCTCTCTCTTTTACGTTCTCTTCATATTCTTCGATCCCTCTCTCTCTCTATCTCTCTCTATCTCTCGATCCCTCTTTTACATTCTCTCATAGGTGTATGGTGTAAGTATGGAAACAACACGAGGCTCGCCGATCTTCTTCGATCTCACTCTCTCTTTTACGTTCTCTTCATCTTCTTCAGTGTCTATCTTATAAGTATGGAAGCAACACGATGCTCGCCGATCCAATCAATCCAGTGTATGTTCTTTAATTTCTTCCATCGAAGTCAGTGTTTGAGTTTTCGATTTTATTGAATTGGTTTCGATTTCTCGTTGATTGCATAACAACAACTGTTTAACTAGGGTTTTGATTCTCTAATCTAAGAACCAAAATTAGAGTTTAATATTAAAAAATTCAAATTAGGGTTTGGAAACGAATTGGGATATCTCCTAATTGACGTAACTTAGGTAGTTCCTTACCTCTTGACTTGCTTACAAGAGTTCTTTAATAATTCGACGTATGTAAAATTATTTTTCTTTCTATATATTTTGTTTTATTACTTCAGATTCAGTTTTGTTTTGCTATTGCTTCTAAGCTTAATATATTCTTCTTTATTTTTCTGCAGTATAAAAAGTCCATATGTTTTGTAGATATTATTAAGACTTACATCATCACATATTATTTTGCAGGCAGTTGTTCTCAGGTTTCCAAAGATCATCAGGTTATTTTCAGGTTAGACTCTTAGGATTTATCTTTTTCAAAGTCTTATAACTCTGTTTCTAATGTTTATGCTCATATTGCTTAGTTTAACGCTTTTTTAACTTGCTATATTCATAGTTTAGTTGGTCAAAAGTTTCATGGAAGATTGAGTTGGTGAGTGTCTTTAGGTAACGAGCTAATTAAAATGGTATAACTCATGATCCTCTGTTGATATATTTTTATTCCTATTAAATTGTCAGTTTTAATATCTGGTAGGATTTTTATTTCTTTATACAAAGATTAAAAAAACTGCGTTTTTCTACTATTTGTGACATTCAAGTTCGTTTAGAAAACCATTCACTTACTTGTCGTATGAGTGTTACAATGTTTTGTGTTCTTTTATTTAAATGTAGCAGTGTAGGTAACTATGTGACAGCGATACGTTGTTCTGGATGATCGTATAGTTGTGTGTGCTTACTATATCTGCTGTTCTTTGGTGTTCTGATCTTGTGTGGAATGATGATTGATTCAATGAGTGTCTTTTGTATTTGTTTATACATAAATCTTAAAGAAACTTGTGTCTGAGATATGTCAGTTTTGTTGTGATGCAACCCATTTATGTTATGAAAGCAGAGGAAGTTTTGTGCAGCAATAGAATTTATGAAGAGTTCTCACAGTGATTCTTGATTTCATTTACGAATTTAGGTTTCCTTCTATCATCTTGTTGTTAGTTACTTACTCATTTGATCCTTCTCTTTTTGATATGGTCTTATGCGCTTGTTTGTTAAGTTTTTTCAGTGAAAAATTGATCAGTCTTGTTTCCTATGATTGGTGATGAATGATGTTAATGATTTATAAAATTGACCATTTCTTACTGTTGAAGTTGAGTAGCACAACAGTTCTATTTCAGTTTATATTCTGGTTCATGATCTCTGCAAATTTAAAAAGCATCTCATCATAGATGTGGAAACGTGTGAACCCACTCAATGAAACTACTACTCGTTGTATCTCATGGACTCTTTCTCGAACCCAATTATTGGGAACTGCTTAGCATATTCTATTACAATCTCTGACTGTAATTTCTCATTTGAGTGCATTGTTGCTACAAAGTCTTTCAACTTTGTTCATACAATACATTATAGATTTTTAGATCACCAGTACAATCCCCATTTTTCAGAGAGCGTGACACAATAAAAAGGAATGAAACAATCCCCTTGAGACCCTGCCTTGATCTTTAAGGCTATCTTGATGTTTCTGTAACCTTATCTTGAGACCCGTTATTGTGTGAATTATATGGACCTTATCTTGAGACAAGTTTGGGAATTTTGCGCAATCCTGGAGATAATTTTAATGATGTTTTACAGCAACAAAAAAAAAAAACATAAAATTCTAGCTTTTGGTATTTATTTTCTTATATAATTTACTCACATTTGGTGTTACCGTAGAAGATGGTATAGAAGAAACCAAAAATCCCTATATTAGTAAAAGAGAAGTACAAAAAGTGCAATCGGGTCGGGTTAAATTGAAAAAATAACCCGGAATTTTGAAATCGGATCTTTAGTTGTTGGATAGTAAAATGGATTCGGGTTTTATCATGTTCCTTTTTTAGTGCTATAAATCGGATTTATAATTATGGCATTGATAAAAGGCATAAATGATAAGGAAACCAACTTATGGAAATAAGTATATTCGAACATAATCTCCGTAGACTTTTAATCGGTTTAATTTTTAACACAATTATGTCTATGGCAATAAGTATATTCGAGACTAAAAGCAGTGAAAGTCTAACCCGATTACAAATAATAGGAAAAGAATATTCTTCCGCGCTAATGTCATGGGATATTAGGTTTTCTTTTGTAAAAGTGTCTATATTTACGGGATTACAATATCTAAACAATATTGATGATCGTCTATCTTTATGTTAATCATGTGCACTCAAACCGTAATTATTGTTTCTTTTGCAATGCAATAAACGATTCTTCCCATAGTTGATATAGAAAATAGAGAAAATTACTGAATATGGAACCAAAAATATACCTCTTCTTCACGCAATATCTTACTCGGTTTTGTAGAATATTAGCAGCATATTCTCAAACCAACCTTAACCTAAACTCACGCTGAAACCCTACTTCTATACTCACGTCTACTATAAAACGAGTAGAGGAGAAAGTCTTTAGACGCAATTCGTCAAAACGTTCCTTCTCTCTTTTCACTCTTTCTTCTCTTTTCAATGGCTACTCTTCCTACAACAGATTTGCAGTCCATTAAGCCTTTCAAAACATGCTGGCGGGTACAAGTCAAGATTGTCCATTCATGGAAGCAGTTTACACTTTACGCTGGGGAGACCTTGGAAATGGTTCTAGCTGATGTTTCTGTAAGTTTATAAATCACTATTATTGTTTTTTTAAAAATATATATATATCGTACCCACGCTAGGTTTTGAAAATGTTTCTATTTTCCTCTTTTCTAGGGTACACTCATTCATGCCACAATCAAAAAACAACAGCTTGGAAAGTTTCAGAGATTGATTGTCACTGGCGAATGGAGGATCTTTGAGAATTTTGTATTGACCAAGGCAATGGGAAGATTTCGAGTCACCAAACATGTTTATCGAATGTCAGTGATGAACATTACATCGATCGTGCCGTGTGCCTCACTCTCCAGCGACATCTACTTAGACTTGATTGATTTTGGAAAAATCCACAACGATGAATCGTTGAATGAAAACATTTTTATTGGTAAGTTTCATTATAGTTTATGTTTCATTCACTATAATAATCACTATAGATAACTCAAAACAATTTATTCTAAATCTGTTTAACATTTTCCAAGTAGATGTACTTGGACAAGTTGTCAACGTTGGTGAAATGAAAATTCATATTGAGAAAAAGAAGTTGGAGTTCGAACTAAGAGACACCAAGTATTGTTATTATAAGTTACCCAAATATCGTATGTATATTGTACTTGAACCCTTTGTTCTTTTGTAGTGATATCCGTTTAGCATGCACATTATGGGGAACATTTGCGGAGAAATTATTGGCCGCAATCGAGCAAGATCGTGAGAAGAAAGTTATTTGTTTGTTGCGTTTTGCTAAGATCAATTCATTTAAAGGTCCCCTTATCCCATCCTACAAGCTGATAACATTCGTTTATTACAACTTATCATATTAAAAGTATGACAAATGTTTTACAGGTGAAAGATCAATATCAAATGGTTTTGATGCTTCGTTGCTGGAGATAGATCCATATTTGCCCGCTGTCCACGACTTCAAAGAAAAGTAATTTTGTCGACACATATACTTTTATTGATGCCATAAGGTTATATATTTGCACTCACTAATACTTTTTATTGCTTTTTATCTCCAGTCTCCCTAAAGATGGTCTTGCTTTGACTATTAATTTGCAAGTTCCAAAGGTGAGAAAATCCAAGGAGAAAGGAGACGAATACAAAGGCAATCCAACCATCACCATAGCTGAACTCCTACAATCTTATGAGGTATGTTCATGGATTTTAAAGTTATGGACCTTATTTTTTTAAATAACAAACTAATATAGAATGAAAACATTTATATTGCAGGAAGGAAAATTTAGGGTCCTTGCTACAATTTGTGCCATCGATATTGAGTTTGCTTGGTATTACTTTGTCTGCTGAGAAAGATACAATGATCCAAGCATGGTTCAAACTAAACAGAGATTCAGCAGAAGCTAGAAACCTAACTTTCGAAGAGATACCACAGTTTTTTACTTGGCAGCCAAAAGAGAAAACCTTCAGAAGAAGAATGAGAACAATCAAGAATAGAAGAACATCTTATATGCCAAGTAAGTTTGATGGTAATATGAGCTTGAAATTACTTTTCCGTTTTCTGAAGGGTCCTAGAAGTGATGAAGAGTTGAGGACTTTTGATGGTGTGGTGTATGAGTCTTACAAGGATGCATGTTTGGCCATGGGTTTATTGGAAGCTTGAAGAGATTTTCGTGTTTACCACAATATCTTAAAATATTTTCTGTTTTGTTATTCCATATTGATATGTACCCTCTTAATTCCAAGTTTAATAAGAAGTCATTTCTATCATATTGTTCTAGCAAAACAATACTTAAAGAAATATAACTTTCCAGTACCAAGGCATTCAAATGTAAAACTATCCCGGTTTGGGAAAAAGATCAATTCCCATTGAAGCGCAATAGATTTAAGCAAACTCACCTTATTGTTGCACTTCCAATAGCACACCTACTCTTGCAAACGTACTGCGCAAAGATCATTCGGTTCCTGAACAATAATAAAATAAACATTTTAAGTATTACATGTTCAGATTTGGGCCTACGATGAGTCTTTACTACTAAAACAAAATTTTGAGCTACCGACAAGTTTTGGTTTGTGCTACCTTAGTTCTATGGGACTTAACCTTCAGATTTCTGATAAGTTTAACAATATGAAAAGAATATACAGCTTTGTAATAGTTTACAGAAAACTGATCGGTTGAAGGAGACAAGTGAAATAAACATAGCCGACAACAAATTACTTTAGGGATCTTCCATGGGTTTGCATAATCTGTTATATAGAGTTAGACTGAGAGTTGAAGGTTATTACCCATACAAATTCTGCAATCAATCGATTCCGCAGCTTGGCAATTCGATGTTTCCTTCCCTAATAATCCGTATGAACAATGTTCAGACCTGATTCATCATATTCCAATAAGTAGAGGAATCTTAATATATAGTTGCTACTAAATAGTTAGAAAATAAAAACAATGTGGTGGTAAACAATATTGCCTGAATTTGATGTCGGTCAAATGCTTCAACAGACAAAAATGGAGAGGCCGTCGGAGAAGATGAAAAGATTGCTTTTTTTTTCCCCTTATTTTCCAATAAACGTAAGTTGGTCGCAATACCACAAAAAACAACTAATAACATTTTTTGCAAACAAGCCCAATTTAAACAAAGGACAATCAGGCCCATACTACCATAACGTATGTTTTGATTTCAATCATAGCCCAAACATTAAAATTCGATCATAATAATTTGTGAACAACATTCACCGGATTATACTATGCTATTATAATCTATACTAATAAAAGGGAAGCATTTTGTATAAGTCAATCATAGTTTATACAATTAAAAAAGTAAAACAAAACCAATGTGATTATAAGAAAACTACATAACCGAACCCCTTAATTATAGAAAAAATTATATAAACAAATTAAACTCATAAAATTTAATTCGACACCATCATAACCAAATACCTTATTTATAGCAAACAATTTATTCATTAGTTTGGATTCATCGACTAATGTTTAATATAGTTAATAAATTAATTTAATCAATAATTAACTAACATTCCTAAAATAAAACAATCAATTAATCGTGATCTAAATACATATTACAAAACAACTATGCTTATAAGAAACCGATTTCAATGAATCAAATTTGGTAAATCAATAAAATAAATATTTTCACTAATAATGTTCATTTCTTAATCCATAATCATCTACTTAAAAGGGAAAAATTTTGAATAAAGTGAGCATAGTATATAATTAAAAAAGTGTAAAACATATAACTTTAGTTATAACAAATAGAATAATTTAACTTGATTTTTTAAAAACAGATTAGAACGTATATTAAGGTAAATGAATTATAAAAATATCTAAACCCATTAAATGTTTGTTCCTAAAATATAGATTGTTAGATGTTAATAAATTATGATAAAATTTTAAAATAAAATCAGTACGTAATTTTAGGTAATTGGATAATTAAATTATATAAACCATTAAATATTGATTTTAAAATATAGCTTATAAATTCCGAAAATATTTCTGATTTCTATTTTAGATAATAACTTCTACTAATAGCAAAATTAAATTACAAATATTTAATCAGTACATTATTTAGGAAATTGAATAGTTTAATCAATAAAATGTAGTTCCGTTTATAGCACTCAAAATTTACATTTGTTCTTTGTTAAATCTTTATATACTAGGTTGTTCTATTTTCAGATATTCTATTTAATCTCTTTTTTATAAACTTTCGGTATTTGTTAAATTTTATTAAAATAAACTAATATTTTCAATTGTTTATGTAGGGTTTCAAGTATGGTTGGAAAAGCCTATGAAGCTGTTTTCTAATAGGTGAGGTGAGACATTTAAACTATAATAGGTATATTGTTGGGATAACATGACGGTAAATATTGTGTTCAAAGAGTGGTACTTAACTATAAGGTTCCTAAGGTTTGGATAAGCAACTTTTTTTTGTGGTTTATCAATAACCATTGTATATAATTTTATCTATAATATATTTTTTCTAATTGAAGGTAATTATCTTAAATTATGTTATGAACATTTATAAAACAGGTCGATATTGTGCTTAACAGATTAAGAAGAAAAATCTCGAAAATTAAAGCAATTAACGTTGAATAAGGTTATAACTATAAGCATTGACGTTGTTTTTTCTGGTTTGATAGTTCACAAGTTTAATACAAACTTAACCAGTCACTAATTTCGGATTTTATGGTGAAACCATTATCATTAAAACATTCACAATCAAATGAAACTAAACCAATATAATTTTAAATTAAAATATTATACCAAATAATTATATCTAAAAAAAATCAAATCCTTAACCAATAATCCAAAAAGAGATATCACCTAGGGCTGTGAAAATACCCATATCCAAAAATCCAAACCGAAACGAATCTAATTCGAACACTATGGAATACTCGAATGAGTTTTAAACTTAGAAAACCAAAATTATGTATTCTAATTATCAAATATTACAATTATAAATTCAAAAAATGTCAACTATTTTTTATAGTAAAATAATTGAAATATCCAAAATATCATAAATATCTTAATTTTTTTAATTATTTTATCAAACTTTAACCATCTTTTAGAAAAAAATATAGGGGGAATTTCAAAAATACCCCTTTTTCAAACTTTATCAAAAACCCCACTAAAAATGTTGAAATTTATCCAAATATGTGTGTAAGCTTATAAATATATACACAAATTACCTTTATATGTGTATAAAACTTTATATACCTTTCATAAATAGCGTAAAAATAAATTATAAAAACCTTATAAAAACCTTATAAAACCATATAAATCCTTTTACAAACCTTTTAAAAACCTTATAAAACTTATAAAAACGATTTAAAACTATTTAAAACTATTTAAAAAATTTGTATTGAATCTGCCAGTAGTAGTTATTACATAGAAGTACCTTATAAACTATATAAAACTTTATAATTTTTAATATTTAAAAAGGGGTATTTTTGAAAATGGATAGATAAAAGAGATATTTGTAAAAAGGGGTACACCAAAAGGGGTATTTCTCAAAAATTCTCTTAACCATATTATTTTAGTAATTGTCTTTATTGATAATGAAAATAAGTCTGATCAATTTTTGTCTAAAATCAAACGAAAGACAAATCAGTAACTAATGGATTATGAGTATATAACATACCTAAAAGATACATTAACATATATAACTATGCATATATGTAATATATTATAAACTGGATAGCAAACTTAGTTTTGAAATAAATCCCGCACGTACGTGCGGGTCATCATCTAGTAGATATGTTAAGTAAGTTCAACTTATATATGTTTAAAATCCAAAAATGTATATGCAACAACATATCACATACATTCAACTAATAATAAAATGCATATTATCGTTACTTCCATTATTATTCTGATTGATTGGTTATAATTTCCTACTTCATATTCAAAAATTCGAAAATTTTGCCACATAATAAAAGATCTTCAGCATAAATTAGAACACTTCGATAATAATTATAAAAAAAATCCCCTGTTAATTTCCGTGAATATAAACAATAATATCATTAGAACCCCCCCCCTACCCCCGCAAAAATTTAACATTATAAATTCCAAACCTCAAAGTATTTACATGAGATTATGATGTTGCAGAAATACTTATCGCACCGGCACTGTTAATTTTCGTTTCCTTTTTTCAGACATAAAAACTATATAATACAATATACATGTAAATATTGCGAGATTTTAATAAATGACAACTTTCCCCCGCGCTGTAGCGCGGGTCCGAACCTAGTGGTTGTGAAAAGTCTCTTTTGCGAATCCTTACGTACGAGTGGTGGGATAACATGAGGACAAGTAAGAAGAACCCCAAGCAACCTGACTTTAATCACAAAGATACATGTGAAGAAGCTCTCTGGCATGACTTAGATATATCAGATTGGATTACTAGACGACTTGACTTGTTAGACAAGAGAAAATGAAGCTGAGACTATTATTAGCCTAAGGTTATAATCATCGATTATAATTTTTTTTTTTTTTTAAAAAAAAATTAAATGAAATTTTTACATTCTTAGCAAAATAAAATAAAAAAGTGAAACTAAAACAAGGAAAAAAACACACTCTATGGCTGTTTTTCTGATTCCTGAGTGTGAGACATAACCAAAACTTATAATCAATCTTTCGTTCAATGTAAAGATGTCAAATTCGATTAATCGTACCATTCATATATGTTGTACGTTTAGAATTAAAGTACTAAAATGTGTAAGAAATCGTTTGTGTAATTATCTCCAGAATATTTGTGTATATGATGATCAGAAGTAAATAAAATTTGGTTTTTATCGGAACATTCGTTGAGAGATAAAACGTAACGTATGGTGTTTCGTGATATTATGAGAACACAAGCATCAACGAGACTTTATGATATTCGTTGTTAATACAGACAAGTATAAACGTACAGTTTTGAGATCAAAACTCTTCAATTTGGCCAAGCTCATATAAAGATTCTAATGTTCAAACTTTTGAAAAGTTAATATTAACGTATGTTTTTAGGTTTGAATTGGATAGAGGACAACTAGGTAAAGCATTTCATGGGGGAAAAGCCACAGGAGAATAGTCCCATTTGAATTTGAAGGACAAGCTTAAACTACACGGCACTTTGATTTTTCTACTTGCCCTCACTAAACTCCAATTTTACTTTTCTCATTGAGAATGATTTTTTTTATCTTCGTTTCTAATTTCTTACAAAAAGACTTTTTAGGGCCAAGAACGAGTTATGTAAGTAGAGAATATTGAATTGTATATTGTTTTGTATTATTGAATGAAATGATACAACATATATATAAGCACATAACATAACCTATACTTGTGTGACAAGTCTCTTTTGCGAATCCTTACGAGTGGCGGATAACAGGATACGAAGAACCCCAAGCAACCAGACTTTAATCATAAAGATACAGGCGAAGCTCTATGGCATGACTTAGATATATCAGATTGGATTACGTACTAGACGACTTGACTTGTTAGACAAGAGAAAATGAAGCTGAGACTATTAGTCTAAGGTCTATAATCATGGATTGTAAATCTGATTATTATTTTCAAATGAAATATTTACATTCTTAGCAAAATAAAATAAAAAATAAAAAAACGAAACTACTACAAGGAAAAAAACACACTATGGCTGTTTTCCGATTGGATTTAATTAAGATTAGGTCGAGATGTTCTTGGGATGTTACAAGTGTATTGCATCACTGTATGTTACATGATCCTGATTCATAAGTGTGAGATATAACCAAAACTTATAATCAATCTTTGGTTTAATATAAAGATTTCAAAATCAATTAATCGTACGTTTTATATATGTTGTAAACTGAATATACAGTTAAGACTTTTATGCACTAAAATGTGTAAGAAAATATTTTAGTATTTAAATTGTTTAGTATTTTTCTTGTTGATAATCGTTATCGGAACATTCTTTGAGAGATGAAACGTAACGTATGGGTTTTGTGATATTATGAAAACAAGAGCATCAACGAGAGTTTGTAATATTCGTTGATGATACATACAATTATAAACGTTCAGTTTTGAGAACAAAACTCTTCAATGTTCATATAAAGAATCTAATGTTCAAACTATTGAAAAGTTAATATTGGCGTATGTTTTAGGTTGGAATTGGACAGAGATGACAACTTGGTAAGCATTTTATAGGATAATTCTACTATAAGCATTTTATAGATGTCCTACAAGCTTAAGCTACACGGCACTTTGATTTTTCTACTTGTCCTCACTAAACTCCAATTTTACTTTACTCATTGAGAATGATTTTTTGATCTTTGCTTCTAATTTCTTACGACATGATTTATTTTTTAGGGCAAGAGAGTTTATGCTCTATTAAGTCAAGTCTATTGGATTTGGAAAGACTCACAATATTCTTTGTGGGGAAGAAATTTCATCGAAAAGACTTCAAAATGTTAAATCAATGGAGCTTCATGTGTTTGATTTTATATATATATGTAAGTGACCTGCAACACTAATTCACCATCACTACTTCAGATTACTCTTTTATTCACAAATATGAAAGCTTTCTTATGTAATCAGAAAATGATATCGATTCTTCGTTCCATCTCTTTCCTTTTTTTCGTTTCATGTTTGCTAAACACATTTGTTTCTTCTACACAACACTTGTGTCATCTAGACGAAAGGGATGCTCTTCTAGAGTTTAAGACTGAGCTTTTGATCAAGAAGCCTCTTTTGGACGTTGATTCATATATAAAGACCGAATCATGGATGAACAAAAGTGATTGTTGTTCTTGGGACGGCATCACGTGTTCTGCTAAGTCGGGCAGAGTCATCGGACTAGACCTTAGTTTCAACTACCTCTACAGCAAGCTCGAATCCAACAGTAGCTTATTTAAACTGCTTCATCTCCGTGATTTGAACCTTACTGGCAATAATTTCAACGGTTCATCAATCCCAGCTGAGTTTGATAAGCTCATGAGGCTAGAAAGACTTGACCTCTCTGATTCTTCACTTTCAGGCCAAATTCCGGTCAACCTTCTTCAGCTAACCAAGTTGGTGTCTCTCCATCTTTCTTCTAGTCTTTATCCTGATTTTTCTTCTTTTCTATCTATTGAAGAATCTTTTCTTCATCTGCTTGCTCAAAATTTGAGGAATCTTAGAGACCTGGATATGAGCAGTGTCAACATTTCTTCAAAAATCCCCCATGAGTTTTCAAACATGCGATCTCTAAGGTCACTAGATCTTAGCAACTGCAACCTCTTTGGAAAATTTCCAAGTAGTGTTCTTCTGATACCAAGCCTGCAGTCCATTACATTAAGTTCCAATCCAAATCTGAGAGGCAAACTTCCTGTTTTTGGTGAAAATAACTCTTTGCTAAAGCTATCCATTGAAAGAACAGCCTTTTCGGGTCCCATACCCGACTCCATTAGCAGCCTCAAACATTTGATTTCCTTGACCCTTTCCTTTTCCCAATTCTCAGGGAAGATTCCTTTTTCAGTTGGGAATCTTTCTCATCTCTCATATCTCTATCTCTCTTATAATAACTTTGTTGGTGAAATCCCATCTTCAATTGGCAATCTAAAACAATTGACCCATTTTCATGTTAGTTATAACAAGCTCAGTGGAAACTTGCCAGCTTCAATACTCAATTGTACTCAACTACTTGAACTCGATCTCTCTTCAAATCAGTTCACAGGTTCCCTTCCACCGATCATTAGCCAATCCTCCAAATTAGAGTCTTTTTATGCTGGTGATAATTCTTTTACGGGAGCCATTCTTTCATCCCTAGTCAAGATTCCCTCTTTGACCGATATCTCTTTGGGTTATAACCAATTCAACGACTTTGCTGGGATTGAGAATATCTCTCTCCTACCTAATTTACGATATATCTCTATTGAGAATAGAAATTACAACAAAGTCTCTGATTCAGAAGTTAACTTAAATGTCTTCTTGCCTCTCAAGAAGCTAGACTCGTTACTTATATCGGGCATCCCTCTTTCTACAGCCAACATCACTCTTGATTCGGATTTCCCATCAAGTTTGAAATATTTAAGTTTGAGTGGCTGCAACATCACTGAGTTCCCTGAGTTCATAAGAAAAGGAAGAAATCTTAGAATTCTAGACTTTTCCAACAATAAAATGAAAGGTCAAGTACCAGACTGGTTGTGGAGACTGCCAAAATTGGAGTCTGTGCTTCTCTCTAACAACTCTTTCAGCGGTTCCAATGGATCCTTCGAAGTTTCTCCGGAGAGTCTAATAAGTTATGTTGATCTAAAATCAAATGCTTTCCAAGGACCACTCTTCATCCCGTCATCCAAGCATCTCCGATATTTTTTGGGTTCCAAGAATAACTTCACTGGAGAGATCCCTCGATCAATATGTAGAGCAAGTTCTCTAGAGGTCCTAGATCTCTCAAACAACAACTTCGACGGCTCAATTCCTCAGTGTTTAGAGACTCTCATGAGTTCTCTTACAGATCTAAATCTCCATAACAACAGACTCAGCGGAATGATTCCTGAAATATTTCAGAACGCCAAGAGCTTAATGTCACTTGACCTTAGTCACAATCGATTGGAGGAAAAGTTTCCAGCTTCTTTTGTTGGTTGCTCTGAATTGGAAGTTTTAAATGTGGGAAGCAACACAGTCAACGACATGTTTCCTTTCCACTTGAATTCTCTGCAGAAGCTTCAAGTTCTCGTCCTCCGTTCTAACAAGTTTCATGGCACATTACATAACGGTGATGGATTTTGGTTTGAATTTCCTCAGTTGAAAATCATTGATGTATCACATAATGACTTCTTCGGTGCCTTGCCATCTGATTACTTCTTGAACTGGACTGCGATGTATTCCGAGAGAGACAATAATATGGAACTAGATTACATTAGTAATTTTGGGGGCATCACCTACTACTTTTCACTTGTGTTGATGAGTAAAGGAGTATCAATGGAGATGGAACGTATCCTTACAACCTACACAGCCATCGATTTTTCAGGAAATCAACTTAGTGGACAAATTCCTGATTCTGTTGGTTTTCTAAAGGAGCTTTGTATTCTCAACATGTCAAACAATGCTTTCACGGGCCACATCCCATCTACTTTGGCAAATTTGACGAATCTGGAGTCACTAGACCTATCCCAAAACAAGATATCTGGTGAGATTCCTCCTGAGCTTGGGAGCCTTTCTTCTCTCGCATGGATAAACATTTCACATAACCAACTTGTAGGTTCCATTCCGCAAGGCACACAGTTTCAGCGACAAAACTGCTCCTCCTATGAAGGAAACCCGGGGCTTAATGGTTCTTCCCTTAAGGATATTTGTGGAGATATCAAAGCGCCAACACAATCCGAACTGGTGGAGACAAAAGAAGAAGAAGAAGAAGAATCATTGAGTTGGATGGCAGCAGGTTTAGGCTTTGCACCTGGAGTTGTATTTGGACTAGTATTGGGACACATAGTGGTTTCGTACAAGCATGAGTGGTTCATGAAGGTTTTTGGCCGACGCAAGCAACGAACCATTAGGGCTCGTTAACGCGTTGTTGGTCTGTTCGACAAAGTTGGTGTATCTAATAACATCATAAATAATTTGTTATCTTTTATGAAGAAAAAGCAAGCGTGTGATGATCAATGTTTATATATTATATGTGATGTATCAGTTTTTATGTATTTTATGTGATGAATTGACATTCGAAACCTTAATGTATGTTGTTAAAAAAGGATGTTATTATTATTACATAAATCAGAAGATGTAGCACAAAGATGAGTCACTACTCGTAACGACACTGATTTATTGATTACTCTGTAAGTAAAACCAGTAAGCTCCAAATTAGTTTCAATGCAAGGACTTGGCCTATGAACAGAATCACTCCTTTTATGTTCTCAGTGACCACCAACAGAAACGGATGATCCGCCACAAAATCTATCTCATCTTCCTCCATAAGCAAACCTCTTAGTTTTATGACTCCAGCTGATGCAGCTGCGGCTTCTGTTCCTTCTTCGTTTACCTCGATGCATGCTTTGTGGAAAATATTCGATACGGATAGATTCTTCCCCATTTCTGGAGATTCAACCATCTCAGTTAAACCGTCTTCATCACTGAATGGCGAATCAGTCCCAATCCTTTCAAAACATCTGAAGCGTCGAACCCGAAAGAGAACTAAAACTTTGGAATCTTAAAATCACCAATAGTAGAAACTATTTTGTCCGGAATGTTGGTTTATGCTTGAAGAAAGCTTGAGTCTCAAGCTAAACCATAATCCTACAGAATTATGGTTTTAGGAAACAGAAGTTTATGAGTTATCTAAACATGTATATTTTTCCTATTTGGATTATGGTTTTTTTTTTTGTCAATAATATTTGGACTATGGTATTGTTTATGAATTCTCTACATAAGTATATGCCAATGTGTGGCATAAATTATTAGTTTTGTGAACTTGAGAAAGTTCTTGAATTAGTTCATTACATTCTTGATTTGTTATTAAAACCATTGTAGGATCGTGAAGAAACAATGGGAGATCTTGTCGTCCCAATGACCAAACCAAGAGAACAAGAGGACCTTTATCGATCATGTGTTCTATGCTAAACACATCCAATTATATGGTATGGGACGAGATTATCGACACGGAGACAGATCCCGTTGATGGTGCGAATCTAGCCGATGATGAGCAAGCAACGAAATTCTTTATAAATCCATTACAACACAGCTAAATTAAGATAGTTACAAAAAGAAGAAAAAAAAACATATATATACACATAAATTTATGTATTAATTGTCTTTCCTTCAGTTTCTTAGTTTAGACTTTAAGCATTCAAAATATTTGACGCCTAGGGGTAAAGTTACTTACCACATATTCAGAAACTTATTTTTTTATTTTTGTAATTGTATTGTATTGGAGAGGGATTTGGTAATTTGGTAAAGTTTGAGAATATAGTTAGCATTAAATCGGAATGAAATTTATTCCTATATAGAAAGAAATTTAATTTCGCAATAAAAATGATTTTGAAGCCAAAAAATCATCATTAATGTTAATATTAATGCCAAAAAATCATCACAAAATTCAGTTTTGGTAAGATATGTTTAGATTAGGAGAACACATAAGCGTTTTTATTTATAACCATAAATCATAAAATCAGAACTAATTAAAGATTTCCTTATTATTAGTTAAAGATCGAGTAAATATAGGAAACATAAACTAATTGCTACACAAACATTCTCAATCACACCTAACCTTATTAGCAAGGATCTCTATAAATAGTTTGTCAACAATTTACACAATAGAAAAATCATAAGAGCATACACAAATTACTCATAGAAATTTCAGAATAAACTTTTATGTTATTTTCTACATCTAAATATACGTTTGTTTATGTGTCTCTAATATGTAATATAGAACTATAGACAGATTCATTCTAGATAGATCTTCGGTTTCAGGCTGTAATGTATATCTCTAAAATAAGTTATTGTTTGTTCATATATGTATTGCTCATCTTTCTTCTTCATTTATCCTTTGTATTTATAGTTATTTTCTGAGTTCTATATATTCATTTAATATTATTTGGCATGAATGAAATATAGAAACAATGACGAAATTTAAATGTAACTTCAATTCCATTTGTTCCAATTTTATTTTCTTCAGAGAATATATACAAATATTATTGAAGGCATAAAATTTGCCTATTTTGTTTTTGCTTTTGGGGAATTATATTTGTTTGTGATAATCTGAAAAACCAAAATAATGGGTTAGTTCTCTCTAGCTAATCTTTCTTTTCATCCACTTATTGTTGGTCACAATACTTATGTGGCTAAAAAAATGGTAGGATAGATAAAACAAAGATATAAACAATTATATCTCTCATGCATGGCTTCTTACCTACGTGAAATATATCTTTTTTTTTAATTAAACAAACGTGAAATTTGTTTTAATACGGTTTAGAGCTGTGGTTTCTCATTCAAATCAATTCTCAAAGTAAAAAATAAAACAATTGCCAAAGACTTAGTTCTTTATATTTTCATAAGTAATAAATCATATCTCATTAAAGTTTATATCTTGGAGTACCCAACTCTTCCAACTTGGATTTTAAAGTTTTTGTTTAGCAAACAAAAATAAATTAATACAGGTAGGTTTTCCGAATAATCATAAAGTAAAGATAATTTTAGTGTAGTTACCAAATTAGTCATACTTCTTATTTTAAAATGAATAAAAATGTCTATAAAATTTTGATATATGATGATAACTTTTACTGTTTGGTAGTCATTAAATAAGTTTATTATATTGATTATACATCTTAGTATAGTCTATTTAGAGTTTAATAATACTACATTTTTATATAATACAAATACTTATGTTTATTTCAAATTTAACTCATATATATTCGGTAATAAGTTACAACTATGTCTTACAAATATAAATGTATTTACAAACTTAAGTTTTACACGTACACCTTTATTTTAGCAAATCTGAATTTAATAATAGTATTTTTATTTTTTTAAATACATATACTAAGTTCTTTCAAATTCAACCCATATATATTTACATAACACCTATGCATAAAATACTGGCCCCGTGGTGTACCACGGGGTAAAATCTAGTTTATGTATTAATTGTCTTTCCTTCAGTTTCTTAGTTTAGACTTTAAGCATTCAAAATATTTGACGCCTAGGGGTAAAGTTACTTACCACATATTCAGAAACTTATTTTTTTATTTTTGTAATTGTATTGTATTGGAGAGGGATGTATTATGTAATTAATATATACTTGCTGTATAGTTTGGTCAAGTATATTTTACGTATCTAGGTTATTTTGTAATCGTGTATATAAGGCTAAGCCTACACAACTTAATAAGATGAGAAAACCTTTTATACGAAACAAGGTTTTGACATATTGTACATTTTGAATTGGTGATCATCATGAGTTAGGTATGCTTATTTATTGAGAATGCATAAGATATCAAATGCTACTAAAATAATACAGATGAAAGATGTTTATATATATCTTCTATAATAAGACAAGGTTTCTTCTTAACTTTGCCTCACAATGCGATATGTGTCGCTCTATGCTTCTGACTTGTGTCATTTTTATTAATTTCTAATCTAAAATTTCAAAGTTATTTTTTCTCTATGCTTCTCACATGTGTCATTTTTATTAATTTCTAATCTAAAATTTCAAAGTTATTTTTTTTTATGATATTGTGTTGTAAGTTATATGATATATGTATAGTTTGCTTTTTAAAAAGTGTCATTGTTGCAAAAATATGTTTTTCCTAATTTTAGTTTCTAATTAAATTAAATATCATATAAGCTAAACATAAAATGGAGTTGTTATAATTTTTTATTCAAAGAAAATTGCTATGACTTTTTTTCCCTACTCCTTTAAAGATACCTTTTTAAAGTTATTAATATAGGTGATAAATTATTTATAACATAATTTCTAATTTTAAAAAGTTAATTTATAAGAGAAGAATTAAAGAGATTTTTTTTAGTATGGTCAAATCTATGATAAATACTGAAATTAGAGAAAGCTTGATTGTTTTTCAGTATAATAAATCAGTAGATCTTATATAAAATTTGGATAAAAATTATTTATAAGATAATTGTTTCTATGTAACTATTTAACCAACAAATTTTATTTAATTTTCTATTATCAAACAGTTGAGAAAATAATATAATGAATTTAAATCAAAGAATAACTATCATATTATTCATAAATCATATATATATATATATATATATATATAAGGTTTTACCATCTTCTTATTGGTCCACTTGGCTTATAACTTTAAAACATATTATATATTTCACACTTTAATATAAAACTGAAAAAAAACAAAGAACCACAAAACACATTTAATCATATACATTAAACTCACATTTTAATATAAAAACTAAAATAATATGAATTTGCATTAACTATATTTTCCATTCAATTTTTTCAATACACAATCAATTATAATTGACTCCCATAATTGTTTTATGAAATTGTAACTCCCATCACTTCTCTTCCTCTATATACTCATTTTCTCATTATATCATTCTCTCATTCTCTCATTCTCTTCTATATGAAATTTGTTTGCTTTTGTTTTTTGGTTGTATGAGTTTTAAAAAAAAATTAAATACTATTATATAAAATTTCAACTGTAGAAACTTTTAGAGACGATATGATATATTGATATACATCTTACGTTATTATAATTTTTTCTTTTTTGAAAATTCATCTCTATTTTCTATTTTTAATTATCAACATATAAGTACATTCACTCCCTTTCTTACATTATATTCATGTATCTTTAATATTTTTTTTCTATTTTTTTATGTTCTTATGTGACATAAAAATCAATGAAATGATCATTTTAAGAATTTGATATAATTATCTTTAGAAAGTATGATAAAAATCTAACATAGTATCTTATATTAGTTCCAATCATCGCACAACAAGAGAATTAAGTTATAAAGATCCATTTTATATATGCATTTTCTTTTTTGATTATGAAATATCTAATTAAATATTTTATTGTAACACAATTTCCAACTAATAGATTATTACCTCTTTCTTATTCAAATAATTCTTAACTCACAGTTTAATATAAAAACTGA